GCACGGACTCGCTGTCGGCGCGCAGGGTCCCCGCGGGGTCCCCGCGCAGGTACCGCCCGTTCTTCCCTTTGATGGCCACGCGGCCCCGCTCTCGGAACTCGAAGAAGAAATCCTCGGACAGGTCCCCGTCGCTGCACACCGACCCGCTGCTCGCCACGTACCAGTACTTGCCCCCCTGGCCTGCAGGGAGCCCCGGGGGGGGTCAGTGCAGGCTGGACGGACCCCCCAAGCCACCCCACCCCATAGCCCACCCCGCCCACCTTGGATCTGGTAGGCGCCGTCGCTGAAGCTGATGTGGAAGACGTCGTAGACGGAGCGGTTGGAGTCGAGCAGGTTGGAGCCCCGGTGGTAGCAGACGAAGCCGTGCTCGCCCCGCAGCACCAGCATCGGGCGGTTGATCAGCTTCAGAGTGAACTCCTCGTCTTCCCCTGCGCAGCACGTGGCCCTCAGCACCCCGGGGTGCCCCCCGGCCTCCCTGTCCCCCCCCAGCACTCACCCACGGTGTCGCTGACGGCCGCCAGCTGCCCGTTCCTCTTGGTGCAGACGTAGCGGCCGTTGCTGGCGCGCAGGGCCACGCGCCGCCCGCGCCACTCGATGTCAAACATGGTGTTGGCAGCGCTGGTGACAGAGACACACCGTGAATTGGGGGTGCCTGTGTCCCCCCAAACCATCTCTCCAGCCCACGCTGCAGCCTCACTCACATTTCGGTGGCCACGGCCTGGATGCCCCCATGGGCCACCAGGGTCCAGTAGCTGCCGGTGTTGGTGTGGAGGCTGCACTTGTTGGTGTCGCGGTCGATCTGCAGCTGGAAGGTTTCGTGGTTCAGCTCCTCATCCTGGTTTGCCGAAACATTCACGCCTGGGGGGAGAGTGGATGTTGGTGCTGGTCCTGCACTGGACATGAGCACTGGTCACGCTCCAGCCATCAGCGCCACTCCTGGTCCAGCAGCCGGCACTGGTCCCTCTCTGCCAGCACCGGTCCTGCCCTGGCGCCGGGCAGCAGCCTCAGTCTGGCCATGGTCACCGATCCCACTTTGGCACTAATCCTACTCCAGTCATCCTGAGTGACCCCACTCTGGCCATTGTCAACAACCCCAATCCAGCCACAGGCACCAGTCCAACTACAGCCATTGTCACCAGTCCTACTCGGGCCATCAGTTCCAGTCCAGCCCATTGTCCCCGTCCCATTCCAGCCATGGGTATCGGTTCCACTCTGTTGGCCACTGTCACCAAAACCGCTCTGTCCGTGCTCACCGATCCCGCTGTGGCCATTGGCAGCGATTCTGCTCTGGCCATCAGGACCAATCCCATTCCAGCCATTGTCCCACTCCAACCATCACCTCTGCTGCCCCACGGCCGCCCTCCCCCTCCCCCCAAATCCTCCTGCGAACAATTGTGCTAATTGGGCTGGTTAATCAGCTTGTCACCACTGTGTCCATCTGGTCACAAACCCCTATTTATAGCTGGTCCCCCTCGTCACCGGGCACTAAGCTGCTTGGCACAGGGGTGGCACCGTCCCTGGGGGGCACCTGTGGGCGAGTGGGGTCCTTTGGGTCTCGAACAAGGGGTTCTGCTCACCTGTGGGCACGCCTGCTGGCTCTACACATGTGTGCGCACACAGGGCATCATGTGTGCTGTGCACAGGCACGCGTGTGGACCTGTGCACACACAGAGCATGGCACACCTGTGTGTGTGCGTGTGCACGTACACACCTGTGCACACCCACAGCCCTGCACGTGTTCACAACACAGCCCTGTGCACGCCCACAGAGCCCTGCACATGCACACATGTGTGTACACACGTACCCACGCCTTCCCCCCCAGCCCTGCCCACCCCACAGCTGCTCCCACTCCATCCTCACTGACCTCAGCGCCCCCAGGCAGACAGGACCCCCCCGTGTCTCTCTCCAGCAGCCAGGTTGGGGTCCCCCATGTCCCCAGAATGTGATTGTTGGATCCCCCCCGAAGCAGGCACAGCGCTGTGGGGTTGCTACTGTGGGGTCTGCCCCGGGGTGGGGGTTCCAGGGGTGCTCCCACGGAGCTGTGGGTGTGGGGGGTCCCTGGGTGGGCAGGGAGCGGGTGGGGGGTGTGGAGAGCTCTTACCCTGCCGGATGGAGACGTATCTGCCATTGGCTGCCGTGAACACCACCTGGGGGTGACTCTCCTCCAGGTCAAAGAGTTCATCTTTGCCCGGCTTGGAGCTGCGGCCGGATTTGAGGGTGCCGGTGGGCCCGGTGGGCGCCAGGTATTTCCCGTCGCAGTCTTTGAACGCCAACTTGCCGGCCTTGAACTCGAGGGTGTAGCCGGTGCCAGCGCCGGGCTCGGGCACCAGGGTGCCATCGCAGCGCAGGTAGCGCTCGTCGGCCGTGCGCAGGCTGTACTTCTTGTCCTGGAAGCAGAGGGTGATGAGCGCGTCCACCCCCCAGGGCAGGTTGCTGTCGGTGGCGATCTCGTCCTCGTGGGCGCTCAGGTGGGCGTAGCGGCGGCGGCTGACGCTCAGCAGGTTGGCCTGGGGGTGCATGGCCAGGTGCACGGTCCAGAGCTCGCCCTCGGTCACGCTGGGGGCGAAGCAGGACAGCCGGTCCTCGCGGCCCCCGAAGAAGCGCCGGTGCGGGGCCGACTGCAGCGCCCAGCGCCCGTCCGACTGCGTGATGATGCTGAAGCCTTCGTCCCGGCCCGGCTGCTCCGCCTCGCAGCGCACCTTCCCGTCCTTGTCGGCGCCCAGGTACCGGCCCAGGTGGCTCTTGAGGAAGACGATGGAGCTGTCGGCTTCATCCTGCTCCAGCGTCCAGATCTGCTTGCGCTTGAGGCTGGGCGCTGAGGCGTTCACCTTGTAGCCGAAGCTCTCCGCCGTCAGGTACCGGCTCTCGCAGTTGATCAACCCGAACTGGATCTTCAGCACCTGGTGGATCCCATTCGTTGGCATCTTCCGCCGAGGCGGGGCGGCCCCCGGGGGCCGGCGGGGGCTCCCCGGCGCTGCCGAGCCCGGGCGTCGCGGCGGGGCCGGACGGAGCGCCCGCGGCAGGGGCGGCTGCGCTGCCCCGGACCCAGGGAGCGGGACGGGGGCCCGGGGGGCTGCGACCCGTTCGATTAACCGCGGGTGGGACTAGAGCCCCGCCGGGTTGCGATGGGCACCGGGGGCGCCCGGGCGAGGGGGCACCGCGGCAGCCCCCGGCCACGCCACCGTCCCTCGCCGCGGCCCCGTCCTGCTGTGGCGGAGCCGCGGGTGGAAAACTTGGGTGGGAACCCGATCCGGGCCGGCGTATCCGTTCCGATCCCGGCGGGTTAAGGTTACCGGCCCCTCTGATTCAGCAGCGGGTCACCTCCAGCCGCGCCGCCTCCCGGCCAGCCCCTAAGCGCCTTTTCCAATTAGCCAGGCATTTTGATTAGTGTAAACCTTTTATCCTGCTTTGGGGCCCTTGGCCTCCATCTGTCCTGTGGCCCCAAATCCCTCCTGCAGCTGGGGATCGGGGTCACGGACGACCCCAAGCCCCCAGAGCCAACTCCTTGGGCGTGGGCTCCTTCTCGGCTAAGGCCGCCTGAACTCATGACAGAGATGAGAGCTCGGCCCCTTGGCGGGGGACAGGAGAGATGGGGGCGTGTGGGGCAGGAGGGGACAGCGGTGAAGGGACAGTTCCCACTCCAACCCCAGCCCTGCTGGGACCCCCAGCCGGGGCAGGCGCTGCCACTGGGACCCCCGGCCTCGGCCATGCTCCGCTGGGGACACCTGGGGACAGGCGGGGACGGGCTCCGTCACCGCCGGGCCCCCCGAAGAGCCCCGACCCCCCGAGCCGGGGTCTGGCCGTGCCGGGGTCTGGCCGTGCCGGGGTCTGGCCGTGCCGCGGCGATGCCGTGCCGGCTCCCGCCGCCATCCCCCCGGCCCCGCGGCTCCGGTGTCAGCGCGGGGCCCGGTTATTGTTCCCGCACACAGCCCCAGCTTTGGTTGCTCATGACTTTTTCATGCCGGGCTGGCTCTGCCCGCGCCGGGGGGTGCCGAGGCCCCCCGAGCCGCGACACCCGAGCCGCGCCCGCCCGGCCGCTGTAACCGACCCCCGAAACGGAGCCGGGTCGGCTTTCGGGCCACGCCGCGGGGGGAATAAGTGGGTCAGGGTCCTGGGGGGGGCCGTGGGTGGTGGGGTGCCCGCGTGGCTCTCGGTGGGTGCCCGCCGGCACCTGCCCGGCAGCGCAGCCGGGAGCGGCATTTATACATCCCGGCCCCCCCTCGGCCCCCGGCGGGGTCGGGTTCCCCTCGGGGGGGCCCTGGGCGCTGTCCCACAGGAACAGCGTGTCCCTGCGTCCCCCCCGGGCTGGGGACAGCCAGACCCCTCCCCACTGAGGGCTGCGGAGACCCGACATGCTCGTGACAACCCCTCTGGCCGGAGCACCGCAGGGGGCTGGGGTGGGTGACCCCCCGATTTCCACCCCACACCCTTGCCAGGAGAAAAATGGGCGTGCTGGGCTGCCAGTGGGGTCCCCAGTCCGCTGCACTGGTGGGGGGCTGGCAGAAGGGAAGGGGGGAGTTCAGCTGTGCCCCACACGCCCGCGGGGGTCAGGCAGGGTCTTGGGGTGGGGGTCGAGGTCGGGGTCAGGAGGGTGTCGGGGTGCTGCTGGGGGAGCCCCTCCTGGTTTCCGTGCAGCGAGGGGTGTGGGGCTGTTGCGCTACCCGGGGCCCCGATCCCTGGCAGGGAACTGGCAGAGGGATGGGGGGCGCTCAGCTGTGCCCCAGCAGCCCGGGGGTGTCACGGCAGGGGCTCGGGGGGTCCGCTGGGGCACCGGGAAGGGTATCGGGGCCCTACGAGGTGGGACCCCCTCATCACCATCCCATCACTCCGCCCCTGCGAACGGGCGGCGGGGACGGACGGACGGACACTGAGAGGCGGGGCGGGACGGGGGTGGTGCCTTCCTCCTCCTCTTCCTCCTCCTCCTCCTCCTCTTCCTCCTCCTTTTCCTCCTCCTCCTCCTCCTCGTCCTCCCGCCCCTGCCCCTCCCTGCCCTCCCTGAGTCACGGGTGGGGGCGGCCCACGCGGGGCGGCTCCGGTGCTGTGTCCGGGCGGGGGGTGCGGCCGGGATGTCCCCCGGGGACCCGCGGGATGCGGGTGTCACCCGCGCAGCCCCCCATGTCCCACCACGGCCCGGCTCGGGGACACGAGACCCCTGGAGCTGTGCCGGGCCCCTCCAGGTCCCTTGTCACCCATGCCGAGTCGCTGCCGTCTCTGTAGGGCGACAGTCCCCGTGTCACCCATCCCGGTGGCACCGGCAGCTGCTGGGAAGGGCTGGGCAGGGGTGGGAATCCCGTGGTCGTTGGGACGGCCACGCCAGTGGCCAGCAGTGCCATGGGCCTGAGTGGCACTAGGAGCTGCCGTGGGCGGCTGGTGCGGGGCCTCTGGAACAGCATGTGGCTACCTGGCACGGCACCTGGCATGACTGGTGGCTGCTTGGGATGGTACATGGCTGATGTGACATGGGACATTGGCTACCTGACATGGGGTAGCTTGTCATGGCTGCTTGACATGGGGTGTGGCTACCTGGCGTGGGGTGTGGCTACTTGAATTGGTACACGGTACATGGCTACCTGGTGGTACACGGCTACCTGGTGTGGTGCCTGGGCCCCTGGCACCAGCGTGTGGCTACCTGACAGTGTGTGCCTACCTGAGATGGCACATGGCTACCTGAGATGGTGCAAGGCTACCTGATGTGATAGGTGGCACCTGACACAGCGCATGGCTACCTGACGTGGGGCGTGGCTACCTGTTCCCACGGCACGACCACCCAGGACCCCGGGCACACCTGGCTGGCACTGCACAGCTGGCAGCGATGGCCGTGACCCCCCCATGGCAGGGGGCACCGGGCCCGGGGCACCCCCCGAGGAAAAGGGGCTCGGGCATGGGGACCCCCAGGCTGGGGGTGCCGGAGCTGGGGCTCCGGTGGGGTTGGGGGCCCAGCTGGGTGTCCCGGGGATGGCACCTCAGGTGTGCCGTGTCCGTGGGGCGCGGGGGCAGCACCGCTGGGCTGGGGGGCGCGGGGGGCGGGGTGCCGTAGCCCGGGTGGAGGTGTCACCTCTGGGACACCAGTGACACCCGAGGGGTGCAGGGCAGAGCCGGGGCGCACGGGGGGTCCCCGGCCCGGTGCTGTGGCGGGGGGGGCATGGCTGGCGGTCCCGGGTGGGTGTCACGGGTGAGCTGTGCAGGACCCACGGGTGCGTGGGGGTGCAGGTGCCCTGAGCGGGGGGGTCCCGGTGCGCGGTGCAGGTGCCGCGGGTGGGGGGGTCCCGGTGCCCGGGTGGGGTGCCCGTGTGCCCGGTGCTGCCCAGGGTGGGGGGCGCGGTCCCAACTTCGGGGTGCGGGGCCAGGCCCGGCCAGGCTCGCGGGGGCCCGGCGCTCCCGGAGGCGCTGCCGGGAGGGGTTCCGGAGCTGCCCGGGGCGGGGCGCGGCCGGGGCCCCCCCCGGGATCGGGGGTCCCGCCGGGATCGGGGGTCCCGCCGGAGCCGGGGGTCGCCCCCCCGCACCCCCCGCCCCATGCAGGTTCCGGGGTGCTGAGGGGCGGGGCCAGCCCGGCAGCCGCCCCACGTGGCCTGGGCCGCGCCAGCCAATGAGAGCGCCTGTTTCTGAAAGATCTCCATATATGGCGATGTTCTCGGCCGAGGAGGCGGGGCTCTCGCCCCCCGGGTATAAAAGCGCGGGGCTGGCAGCCGTGCGGTCTCACTCAGCCGGCGGCAGCGGATCAGGCGGCACCGTCACCGCAGCGCCCACAGAAGCGACCCCCGCGCAGCAGGTACCGCACGGCCCCGCACCGCGGCCCCGCCGCGCCTTTCCCCGCATCCCCCGGGGGGCGGGGTGGGCGGTTTTTGCCACCATCGCTTCCACTTGGCCCCGCCGTGGGCTGCGGCCGAGTAGCGCGTGTCCTCCCCCCTTGCCCCCCCCCCCCCCCCCCCCCCCCGGGGGGGGGGGGGGGGGGGGGGGGACGGGGGGGGGGGGGGGGGGGGGGGGGGGCGTCGCGATTGGTGGAGGCGGCGTGTGACGTCAG